CCCCAAAACCCCAAAACCCCGGTCCAAATTTATAATAATAAAAATAAAACTATAAGATATTTTAATATAAATAACAATAAAATTATAAATTTTATAATATTAAGTGCTAAATATCTAGAAAATTAGAAAATGAAAACATACTTAGGCTTAGGAGCAGCTGCTCTTCTCAGTTCAACACAAGCAAAGACTCATCACAAATATTCCAATGGAAGTGATGAAAACTTGAGAGTTTCAACAATTCCACATTTCTCTGGATATGGCGAGATCAAAAACGTATAAGACAATAATGACTACAAAATGACTAGCCTTGTAACTCCATGGATATACCGTTCACTTTAAGTTAATGATCCGAACTTGAGATATTCTTCTATTTATGATGAACATAATGTATAAGGTCTTTCATCGAGTAATAGAAGACCTGATGAATACATTTTTGGATCACCTCCTGACCTTAACGTACAATATCAAAAGAGAGGAGGATGCGATTTCTGTGATAAAATGGATCAACTAAAAGTGCAAGCACAGGAATAGGAGGCTGCAACAATTGTTAAGCCATGGAACTCATACTTCTTCCCTGACATGCTAAGAACAAAAAAGATTTAATCTCACATTGACAAGTTGAACTCTGAAAAGCTTGATGTATAACCTAAGAAAGTTTATAGATCAAGAAGTGAATATCCAAAAGTCTAAGCACTATGCAAAACAGAAAATGGATCCTGGGGACCATGTGCAAATGACAGCAGCTTTTCTAGAATTTCGGATGATTTCCCTAAAGTATAACTTAAATGTATTCAATCTGATGGCTCTTGGGGATCATGTGGTAACTCAGCAATGAAAAATAATTATCTTAAAGATCATCCCTTAACAATCACAAATTAAGAACCTGAAAAGAAGATTGATTTGCATAACCCATATGCTAATAGTTGGTACTTCTCGAAACCCACTAGTTAGAATCCTTAAGTTGAATCTCCATACTATGATTATGTTCCTCATGTAGAATCTCCTCACAACTTCAGATCAACAGAGTACAACCCACATGTTGAACTTGACTATTATAATAATGATTAAGTTTCACTAGAACCAGATAATGTTGAGACTCCCATGCTTTTGACTGGAAACTTTAGATACAAACACCGCAAGAGCCAAGAATAACCAAACATACAGAAGCCCTTATTAGGAATGCCAATTGATAACAAATAGTTAGATAAGTTTGAAAGTAAACACAAGCAAGAAAAAATTCAAGAGATGATTGAAAAGCAAGATTCAGATTTATTCAACAAGAAATTCCAAGATCACATTCAGAAAAAATAGAATGAAATCGAAAATCATCATCATTCTAATGCCAAGTCAACTGGTTCAGTTAAAATCGAAAATTATGATGCTTGATTTAGCAAACATAAGATTATTAGATGATATATTTAAATTTAAAAAAATTCAACATCTGAAATAATTTAGCTTTAAGGGGTTTTGGGGTTTTGGGGAGATCGGAAGAGCACACGTCT